TAAATACACCTCATTAACACGGAGAGGATTTACAAGTTATCTAAAGGAGGAATCAACAGCTATGGCACAATAACAAAGCTTAGGGCATTCTTTGTGTCTGTCTCTGTGTGTGTGTGTGTATATATATATATATATATATATATATATATATATATATATATATATATATATATATATATATATATATATATATATATATATATATATATATATATATATATATATATATATATATATATATATATATATATATATATATATATATATATATATATATATATATATACACACACACACACAAACAGAGTACATTCAAAAATCAATCGAAAACACAGATAAGAGCTAATTGTGGAAACATTCGGGGGAGTAAAAAAAGAGAAACTCTGCAGGGCCCATACAGGGCCAGAGCTGTTTATTACGCGTTTCCATTGAGGCTTCTTTTTACTCCTCGGCAGTATCGTTTGTCTCCTTTTTGTGACACAGTCAGGGACGCAATAGTTCTCAGGGTCTCTCATTCACCTCCTAGATAGTTTATTGATGAGCTTTGACTATTTCCTAACTTTGCATACGTCGGGGAAAGTGAATGCAATGATTACCGTGTCTTTTTTTTTAATCCCACGACTGTACAGCCGAGTACATGCAGGCGCGGAAGGGTTGCTTTCGGGTGTGCAATGTGCGAATATGCGAGACGGGCCTCATGGTGCTCAGATAGATAGATAGATAGATAGATAGATAGATACTCGACATAATTTGTACAGTTTAGGTATATAAATATGGGAATAGTATAGTAAATTTGAGATACAAATAAGACCGAGTTACAGAATTTTTTGTCGATATACTTCTACATGTTGGCTTAGCAACTAGAAGTTAAATTTGCTAAAATCAAAACGTAATATGTACTATCCTTCTTGAGTGAATTTACCTAAGGGACCTGTAAATTCCTCATGATTTTATGTTATTTGCGCTTTAAAATCTCACACCCCTACTGTTGCAAACAGAAAGTAGCCTGCTGCAGGTCTTCACTGTTTGCGACTCGTAGGAACAAGCTGTAAAATTAGTGAACAGTGAAATTAGGGGGAAAAAATCCGGCCACGTGGACACGGAGGTAACCTCCACGCGCAGATACGGTGCAAAAGCGCGTGAGTGTCAACAAAAGCACGTGGAGAGTGTTTGCGTTTGTTTTAGCCAGTTGCACCAGGGACCATTTGCAAGTGCACTTAATGCACAGAGCAAACAGGTTCTCCTTTTGAATTCACAGCTTGTCAACAGGTTGCGTTCTTGTATCAGTGTCACGGAGGGCCAGATCTCTCAGGACATAAAAGTCTCAAGCAGCAAACAATCACTCAGGAATATTCGGTAAAAAAAATAAATAAAACAAAATCTGATTTTCGTGGGAGAATTGCTGTAACATTTTACAACAGTGTCCATGTTACACATATTACATGTTCAGATAATAAAGTAGGCCGAGAAAAATTGTGTAGAAACAATTTTCACTCAGAAACTGCTAGTAAATTTCAATAAAAAAACCGGCAAGTAACATTGAACTAAACGTGAACATTTTAAATTGAAAAAATTAAGTAGTATTTCTTGTAAAAACCTACTCGAGTAATTGGTTTGATTTACAACTTCGAAAAATATATATATATTTTTTACAATCTATTGTAAAAATAACAACAAAATGTAAAAGCAATTTCATTCAAATATAATTTGCATTATTCAATATAGCTACTTATGTAAGTAGTGTACTGTAAAACGTGACCTTAGTTATTAATCACACTTTTCAGGCCAAATTGCAATGTCAATGTTAACACTTAAGACAAAAGAGCAAAAAACTACAAAACACTAAAATGCTTTTTTTCTGAGTGAACTCAAGCCCAGTGGTGAGATTTAAGCAATGCATCTAACAGAAACAGACTGAAGCAATCCTGCACCAATTGCGTAAAGCAATATTGTGTGAGTTTGAGAGGGGGCGCACAGCATTTGCATGCGCGGACCGATTAGTTGGTTCAAAAGTGGCCTGTTTTCTGTTCTGTGATGGCAGAGGGTCAGTGCTTCTCTAATGGGCCGGTAAAGCGCTGCAAGCGGGGACAGACCGACTAAATACATCAGTACTATCACCAATCAGAATAGGTGTGTTCAACACTGTCTCTCTCTCTCGCTCTCTCTCTCTCTCTCTCTCTCTCTCTCTCACTGCATGTGCCTTCACTTTCTCACTCTCTCTCACTCACTCACTTCACATGCGAGCACACACACTCTCAGTCCCTGAGCAGTCCTGACATCTCCGCTCACTGTCAATCTGTGTCTCCTTCGCAGGGAATTTCCTTCCAGATAGAGGAACGCTGGAAAAAACATATATTCTGAGAAGAAATTACTATTGGAGACCAATTGTTTATTTCCCAGTTTCACCAGTTTGCTCGGAAGGGCTCAGGCGGTGGAGCAGAATGCCTCAAAAAGGTGAGTGCGCATGTTAAAACTTAAAGTTAGTTGTTAGTGTGGGATCCAGAATTGTATTGAAGTGATCCATCACATTTGTGTTTATTAATGACATTAAGGTTATTATTAGTGGTGTTGCCAAGTCATAAAAATAAAAACGTGCTCGCCTTATTAATAGTTTGTTAACTCAAAAACTAGAGCAGCACTCTCAGATGATGCTATATTTTTTTCTGTCTACATTTTAGACAGAAACTAGGCTACTGCTGTTTCTGTATCTGTGAGAGGCAAGAGTTAGAAGCCACATTAGGCCCGAACTGTGTTTTTTTTGCGGAGCACGGGAATGCAATGACCCGTTGAGGAAAGGTGTCAGTTTGATTCATCAGCCGAGTGCCTTCTTAAAGATTTGCCTGAATCTCACGAGGACCTGCTTGTTTATTATTCTTTGCATTGTAAGAATATTCATATTTAGAGTTAAAAAAAAAATAGTCCAGATAATAAAGTTCAGTATATTGGACTAATGCGCTGTCAAGACTAAAGCTTTTCACTTTCATGTTAAATATGTAGTCTAAAGATAAACATCAATATAATGCCCGAATGAAATGAACAAAATCAAATTATTTAGTCAATTATTACATTTTATTAACTCAAAACTAACCATCACAGCGGACTCGTTTATTTTATCCAGCAAATATTCACCAGGCCTACCTATTCTACTGGTGTTTCTATGGCATTATAAACATTCACTAAATAAATCTAGCTCCAAATAACAAAAGATTTCCCCGTCGATGGCAGTATAAGATGATTAGGGCATGTTAATGTCAGATCTTTCAAAACTTCCCACTGCGCTTTTGTACACATCCAGATGCATGTCTGCATGTGAATGATGTTTATGGAGAACACTGTTTCCTGAATAAGCATGTTTAATTAAAGCAATTGTAGTTAAGGATTACACAAACGAAAGAAATGCAGATGAGATCCCAGTTAACCTCATAAACAACAACAACAGCCCGTACACGACGTTAGATAAATCATTAACGGGAACACGCAGAGTCTCAATGCACTTACAGCTAGAGCGAATTAAAAGAGCACAAAATAATTAACATTTTACTGTGATTAAGAGTGATTAAGAGATTGAATCGTCACGTTAGGTTTTAAAGGTATTTTGCATTGCGGGTTGTGAAATTGAGAGGGAAACACTATTCTATTTCTATAGTGTATATTTTACTTCACTTTTATATTTAATAGCGCAGATTAAGTTTTTCTATTTTATGTGCCAAAAAAATAAACAAATGACAGGTGCAAAAGGCTGCGTATAAAGTACGATTAAAAGTTTAAAAAGTAAGTAAGAAAGAAAGACAGCCGTTAGGATTTATATGCATTTATAACAGAACTGAATACAAGTCATTCGCACTAATATTACTCTTTTGCTCTATCCTAGGAATGATCTAAATAGTCAGACGCACGACCTCCGCCTATTTCCAGAAATTAAGCTCAAAGTTGACGTGCAGCTAGCTTTATTCTAAAGACAAATGTCAGAGAGTCTCATCATATTTTCCCCCCTCTTCTTCTATATTTGGAGCTTATTTATTGCTTAGGAGCTCGGGCTCCTGCAGTCAGATGAGAGAGGAGCAGAGCGCTAGAGTACACACACACTCCAGGGAGGCTTTTCGGAGGGATTCACCTCAGTTTTTTTGCTCGCTTTGAATTGACTTTTCATTGGACTTTCACGTCGCATCAAAATACACCGAACTGGTATGCGCTTTTCAAATTCTTCTGAGCTTTGCGGGTCCTGCTTTGCTTTAATATCTAGATATTTCACACATTGCAATTATGATGGAAAGTATGCTGCCGTATGCTTGGTCTCTTTCAGACTGTCTGTTGTACTTGAATGGCAATGGGTGCTTATTTATTAGGCATCGGTTAGTGTGGTGTGAACGAGAGTTTCCAAACACTTGCGGAAAGCTTTTCTCTTGAGGACAATTTGATTATGAAAATTTCAGATGTTCAGACTCAGGTCATTTCATCAGCCGATTGTGTGCATCGATTGATTCAAGCCAAGTGCATTACATTCAAATGTTGATTTACAGGGCATAACGACTTGTGTAACAGCATTCAAAACTGTCAGTTTAACAAATGCAAAACTTGGCTTGGATTATTAACGATGGCCAGATAAAGTTTATTTATTTGAAAAATAATGACAAAGTTTCATTTGTTGGTCACACAAAATATATCCCTTGACTGAATCACACATTTGAACTTTTTTCCATTGTATATTTAAGATATTTTTTAATTTAGAGGCTCTTTATTATTCATTAAAAAAATGCAAGCTTCCTTTGTTGGTTACGCTTATTTGTGTAATGTATTTAATGTGCAATTATTTTGTAGTTATTGATTACACTGACATAGTATATTATGTTACATGGACATTGTGATGAAAAAATCCAACAAAAGACTCGGTTCGTCAGTAACACTGATCAAAGAAAAGCTCCAAGAAGTGGTGCTTTATTCTGGACAATGGGACACCTATTGAGGGAATGTTTTCGAGGGGAAAGACGAGCCAATTTGTTATGTCTCCATGTGCCACAGGTCACAGTGGCGTCAACCAGCTCGGCGGGGTGTTTGTGAACGGCAGACCGTTACCGGAGTCCACCAGACAGAAGATCGTCGAACTCGCTCACAGCGGAGCGCGACCCTGCGACATCTCCAGGATTCTGCAGGTGACCGTGAAGCCCATTTGTACATCCACAAGCTTTATATGTCCTAGTGGAATAATTATACTTAGTTACAAGTCAAATCATGGTCACATACAATCAAATAGTACAGGTAAATAAAATTGATCACAACAATACATAATGTATTCAAATATTAAGCACGTGCTATGCATTTGTATTGCGCAGTAAACAAACAAGCACTAACGTAAAGTGTGACCCCCATCGCAATGAAATCATCCTAGCAATTTTAAGGCATATTTTCTGTGTTCATAGACCCATGATGATGCAAAAGTCCAACTGGACAATAAGAACGTAAGCGTATAACCGTTTGAAGTACATTACATTATTTCAATTTAGTTTTAAATAATGTATGTGAATTGTGTATATTGCTGTCCATTCAGGTGTCCAATGGGTGTGTGAGCAAGATTTTGGGGAGATATTATGAGACCGGCTCCATCCGACCACGAGCCATCGGAGGCAGCAAACCGAGGGTAGCGACGCCTGAAGTGGTCAGCAAAATAGCACAGTACAAGAGGGAGTGTCCCTCGATCTTTGCCTGGGAAATTCGGGACAGGCTGCTGTCTGACGGGGCGTGCACCAACGATAACATACCGAGCGTAAGTGCAAATAATGCTTAATTTGCATCATTTAATTGTGCAATTCTTAGGTCAATAAAAACATTTTCATTGACAAAATAGAATCATTTTTTTGCATTGTAAGAATTTACTGTTCATAAATACAAATAGCATTCATGGAGGGAGCTATAATAAAACAATATGCCATTTTAAGGCTGGAACACACAGCACTTGACTGACGGCCTGCTTTATACCTTTCAGGTGTCGTCGATAAATCGAGTCCTACGCAACCTGGCTAGCGAAAAGCAACAGATGGGTGCAGATGGCATGTACGACAAGCTGAGAATGCTCAACGGGCAGACCGGCACATGGGGGACTCGCCCGGGATGGTACCCTGGTATGTCCGTGCCAGGACAACCAAATCAAGGTGAGACAGTCTAAAAGCAATAAGAGCATCACTGTCAGCAGCTGAGTTGGAATAACAATAACACATAAACAACAAAAAGGAACAGCAACAACAAAGCAAGTGCATCAAAAATAAATAAATAAATAATAAATAAAAACGGCAAAAAATAAACAACAAATAAAAAAAATAATTAATTAAGAATAAATAAATAAATTAATGATTATTAATATACATTTTAATATTCTAAATAGTTTTGATAACAACAACAACAATAACAGCATCAGTATTTATCATACAAATATTAATTATTTGTATTTTTTTTACTATCCCATATTCATGATGCAAAAGTCCAACTGGACAATAAGAACGTAAGCGTATAACTGTTTGCAGTACATTACATTATTTCACTTTAGTCTTAAATAATGTATGTGAATTGTGTATATTGCTGTCCATTCAGGTGTCCAATGGGTGTGTGAGCAAGATTTTGGGGAGATATTATGAGACCGGCTCCATCCGACCGCGAGCCATCGGAGGCAGCAAACCGAGGGTAGCGACGCCTGAAGTGGTCAGCAAAATAGCACAGTACAAGAGGGAGTGTCCCTCGATCTTTGCCTGGGAAATTCGGGACAGGCTGCTGTCTGACGGGGCGTGCACCAACGATAACATACCGAGCGTAAGTGCAAATAATGCTTAATTTGCATCATTTAATTGTGCAATTCTTAGGTCAATAAAAACATTTTCATTGACAAAATAGAATCATTTTTTTGCATTGTAAGAATTTACTGTTCATAAATACAAATAGCATTCATGGAGGGAGCTATAATAAAACAATATGCCATTTTAAGGCTGGAACACACAGCACTTGACTGACGGCCTGCTTTATACCTTTCAGGTGTCGTCGATAAATCGAGTCCTACGCAACCTGGCTAGCGAAAAGCAACAGATGGGTGCAGATGGCATGTACGACAAGCTGAGAATGCTCAACGGACAGACCGGCACGTGGGGGACACGCCCGGGATGGTACCCTGGTACGTCTGTGCCAGGACAACCAAATCAAGGTGAGACAGTCTAAAAGCAGTAAGAGCATCACTGTCAGCAGCAGAAATTGGAATAACAATATCATATAAACTACAAAAAGGAACAGCAACAACAAAACAACTGTGTAAATAAATAAATAAACAAACAAATAAATAAATGTTGTGGTTTTCATATTTGAAATATTTTAATAATAAAATTATTATCATAATATTAATAACCATAATAATAACAACATATAGACAACAAAAAGGCACAGCAACAACAAAACAACTGCATAAATAAATAAATGTTTTTTTTTTCATATTTGTAATATTTTAATAATAAAATGATTATTAATGATAATATTAATAACCATAATAACAACAAAAAGGCACAGCAACAACAAAACAAATGCAGCAAAAAAATTCAATCATAATAATTAATATGAATGATTTTTAAAAAATATTCTTTGTTTTAAAATAGAAATTAACAACATCATCAATAATAATCATAGTCATCATTATTTGTATTATTTTATTACACCATATTGTACTATAATTATACCAAATTGATATGACAATATTCAATATAATAAAGTACAATCTATATATTATACTATTTTTAATTAATAAAGTAAACTATACAGTATATCCATATAAAGTATACAATAATGTACATATATACATTATTATTAATTTAGCATAAATACTATGGTATTTTAAGGAACACTTTACAATAATGTTTCATTTGTTATATAACTACAATAGTTAACTACAAAAGTTAACATGATCTAACAATGAAAAATACTTCTAAAGCATTTATTAATCTTATTTATTGTTAATTTCAACATTTACTCATACATTATTGAAGTCAAAAGTTATATTTGTTAATTTTATGCAATGGACCTGAGCTAACAGCAACTAACAATGAACAGTTACATTTTTATTGAATAACATTAACAAAGATGAATACATACTGTAAGAAATGTATTGCTCATTGTTAGTTAATGCATTAACCAATATTAACTAATGGGACCTTGTTGTAAAGTGTTACTGTATTTTATTATAAATTCACAGAATTATTTTATTTGTTTTGAAAAAGTGTTTGAAAATATATTAAAAAAATCTCTTGCAGTGATTAGGTCTATATCTCAATCCATCTGGAGACACATTAGATTATTATACAGAATGTAGAATAGCGTGCCATTAGCAAACTTAGATGGGAAAAGGCCACTCATTAATTGAGTAGTTAGTGCTAATTAATCGCTCATTTCAATACGGCTCCTGTCTGGCTCTTGGATTTGTGTAACTAGGAACAGAGTTTTCGGCGGAGGTGTCCATGCGCTACCACCTGCCCCCTCCCCCTGCCACTGCCCTCCACATCATTTGCACCCCATGGGGAATGAGAGAAAAGCACTGTGCGTCCCGGGACAAAAGATGTTTCTGTCACATGCAAGAATTTGTGACAGGCACAGCTCTGTCAATAGTTTCTCAATGATACAAAAAGAACACTAGTTTGGAATGACGTGAGAGTGAGCAATTTTTGTCATTTTAGGTTAACTTGCTTTTCAAGTTTATATCTTTCAGTTCTTTTTCTTTTTTTTTTACAGAATTGCGAGATATAAACAGACAGTAATTGCTCATTAGAGGTTGCTTTTTTTTGAGGGAGAGAGAGAACATGCACAGGCTTTTGGTTAGAGGAGACAATGAAAAAAAAGTTTAGCTGATGAATAGTTCGTTGCTAATCAGGTTGATGAATCCGAATCCTGCGTGTGGATGTTCACAGTATCACAAACACTATATGAGAATATTAATATTAAACAAGAAAAATGCAAATGATCATTTACTTTATGTTTGTGCAATAATGTGTTGCTTAAAGGAATAATTCACCCCTAAAGTTAAAATATTAACGCTTATGTCATTCCAAATGAGACTTTAAAAGACAGGTTCATACAGGTTCAAAAGACTTGGAATATAGTGCACTAGTCATACTGTATGGACAATTGTTATTGTGCTTTTATAATGTGTTTTTTATTTATTTTTGTCACTGAGCAACAAACCAAAAAAATTAAAATTTTTTTTAAAGAAAATGTATTTAAAAAATAACAGCATACAGCATACAGGTTTTTATATAGTTAACTAAAACTGAAACCACTGAAAACATTTTCTTTACTTTTAATAATAACAACACACATATACAATATATGCATATATATATCAAAATATTAATAAAACTAATAATAGTTTCTCAATGATACAAAAAGAACACTAGTTTGGAATGACGTGAGAGTGAGCAATTTTTGTCATTTTAGGTTAACTTGCTTTTCAAGTTTATATCTTTCAGTTCTTTTTCTTTTTTTTTTACAGAATTGCGAGATATAAACAGACAGAAATGTGCGATATAAACTTCCAATTGTGTGTTATACAGTCAGAATTGCGAGATATAAACTCGCGGTTGTATGAAAATGTCAGAATTGTGAGCTGACATTTTTCCTCAGAAATGGACTTTATAACTTGCAGTTGTGAGATTAGAAAAAGTCGCAATTATCTTTGAAATGTTTATATTCTGTGGCAGAAACGAGCTTCCATATCAACCAGCTAGTCACTACAGGTGAAACAGTCTGGAATAGACTTGTTCTGATTGGAGAGACTTCTCTAACCCATCCTAAAGCAAGGAAAGGTCTTTCAATGGTCATCTCCTGTTGAACGTATAAATCCTAACTGGCGTTTAACAGGCCCGGCCTGGGGTTCTTTGATTAATGACAGTGGTGTGTAGAGGTTAACATACTGAACTGAAAGCTCTGTTGACTAGATCCTTGTGTTATACAATGCTGAGCACTGCACGCCTCTCTTTTTGTTGTTCCTTTCCAATTGTGCCCTCGGGAGAATTTGAGCCTGACGAAAAAGGCCTGGCAGCCCATCTCTGTCTGCACAGTTTAATGGTTCCCCTCATTCTTCTGGTGGTATTGTGTCATAGAGAAAAGCAGCTCTCTATTCAAGTCTTGGTGGTCACCTCAATAGGTCCCTGGACACCCATACAGTGAATAGCACTAAAAATCCCTATACATTATATGTGCTGCGTATGAAAACACCCAAGAGAGCTTGAGGATGATTCAATGTGTTTCTTTTGGTACTTTGTTACGGAACTATGCAGATGATGCTGACAATTCCTGCCCTGAGTCTAGAGGCGTATTCACAACAAATACTAATTCTATTCTATTATAAAATGACAAAATAAAATATTTTATCTATTTTCTGATATTTTATTTATTTTGTTTGTTCTATACTTTTTTGTCAATTATTCATGCAACTCAGTTATGCAAGTAAAATAAACTATTATTATTATTATTTGGCCAATGAATTGAAGCAAAAAATAAAAATAAATGAATGAAAATCTACTTAGAAATTGCCTTGGCAACTAACCGAAATAGATACGTGTAAGTTGAAGTACTAAAATAGCTGTAACTAAAATTTAAATAAAAATAAAGCTATATAGAAAAATTAAACATAATAATAATAATGACAAAAGCACAGGTAACATTTTACAATAAGGTTCCATTTGTTAACATTAGTGAACTGCATATTATTTAACATGAACTAATGAAGAAAAATACTTCAAATACATTTATTATTCTTCGTTAATGTTAATTTCGGCATTTACTAATACATTATTAAAATCAAAAGTTGTATCTGTTAATACTATTTAATGGCATTGATCTAACATGAACTAACAAAGAATAGCTTTATTTCTATTAACTGATGCTAACAAAGATTAACAATCACGTAACAAATGTATTGCTCATTGTTAGTTAATGCATTAACTGACATTAACTAATGGAACCTTATTGTAAAGTGTTACTAAATCACATAACATAATTTACTAAATCTTGAGCTAAAATTAAAATTAAAACTATAATATAAGATATTAATAAATTCAAAATATGAATAAATACTATAATATCATATAAAATAACACTGCTGCAACATGGTGTGAATAGACCCAAGGTTATGCAAAATGTGGTCTGTGTGATCTACACAGATTCTACAATGATTTCATCTTTTTTTTTTGCAGATGGTTGCCAGCAACAGGACAACGGAGGCGAGAACACTAACTCCATTAGTTCAAACGGTGAGGATTCAGATGAGACTCAAATGCGCCTGCAATTGAAAAGAAAACTGCAAAGAAACAGAACGTCGTTCACTCAGGAGCAGATCGAAGCCCTGGAAAAAGGTGAGCATCACGTGTAAGCATTTACAGCAAATGTCTCTCATACCCAGCTGAGGTACACAGAATAACACGCTTTCACATCGGTTTTTAGAGTTTGAAAGAACCCACTATCCAGATGTTTTCGCAAGAGAGCGACTTGCAGCAAAAATCGACCTTCCAGAAGCTAGAATACAGGTGAGAACATTAGTGCAAATTTGAAACCATGGCAACTACTGCACGTTCACTGTTACTATTGTTTACATCTGCTGACCTTCTCTGTGTTGCAGGTATGGTTCTCAAACAGAAGAGCGAAATGGAGGAGGGAAGAGAAGCTGAGGAACCAGCGACGACAAGCCAGCAACTCCTCCAGTCACATTCCCATCAGCAGCAGTTTCAACACAAGCGTCTACCAGGCAATCCCACAACCCACCACTCCTGGTAAATGGCACACCACAACCTAAACATATAAGGCATGCAATAAAGTCTTGACACCAAGACCACATTTTGGTAACACTTCAGAATAGGGAACACATATTCACTATTAACTAAGAGTTTTCCCTGAACAAACTCCCAATCTGCTTCTTATTAAAAGTTAGTAAGGTAGTTGTTAAGTTTAGGTACGGGGTGGATTAAGGGATACGGTCATGCAGAATAAGGCATTAATATGTGCTTTATAAGTACTAATAAACAGCCAATATGCTAGTAATATGCATGGTAATAAGCAACTAATTAATAGCGAGAATTGGTCCTTAAAATAAAGTGTTACCCAAATTTTCAATGCAAACATGTATAACAAGATTTTAGATCTCTTTTACACAAATATTGCATATAACAGATGTCGGATGTAGAACGATTAATTAAAAGTATCCAAACTTTTATTAAAGAACAATGAAAATAGCTTTGATGCAAATTTTATCTACTTGTGTCACTTAGTAGCTTCAAACTTGGCGTGAAGAGGCTTTATCTTTTGTTAGATTCATTTCCTTCTGAAATAAGTCTGAATAATAATAGGTTTGCAAATGTTTAACACTTTTGTGTCAACTATTCACATGGGCCTCAGCGTTGTCATTGTTAACTAAAACCAAAACTATAAAAAAGTGGCAATCGAAGTTGAAATAAAATATAAATATCAGTTTAAAAAGCACTTCAACCATGATAAACTGTTTTTCCGTAACCAAATGAATAGTATGTCAAATGAGTATACAAAACTTCATCCAACATCTGTTGGATATAGGACAATTAAGTCAAAGTATCCAAACTACACTCTAAAAAATGCTGGGTTAAATACAACCCAGTGCTGGGTAAAATAGGGACAAACCCAGCAATTGGGCTGTTTTGACCCAGCAGTCGGGTTAAATGTTTAACCCAACCTTCTGGGTAGTAACCCAACCGCTGGGTCAAAACAGCCCAATTGATGGGTTTGTCCCTATTTTACCCAGCACTGGGTTGTATTTAACCCAGCATTTTTTAGAGTGTACTATTAAAGAACAATCAATTAGCTGCATTCAACTTGGTGTGCAGAGGCTTTACATTTTGGTAGATTCACTCCATCTATTATAATCGGTTTATTCCATAACCAAAAGATGACGTTTTTGAGTATAAAATCCAATATTTACTCGATAAAATGTATAAACCATATGTAAACCGTGTGATTATTTTTGTCTTTTACCAGTGTCCTTCACAACAGGGTCAATGCTAGGCCGATCAGACACGGCTCTGACCAACATGTACACAGGTTTGCCTCCGATGCCCAGCTTCACAATGGCTAACAACCTGTCTATGCAAGTGAGTAGCGTCACGAACACTCGTTTCCTCCTCTACCCTTGATAATGCTTCCTTAAGTGTCTCCCATTCCATCATTTAACGCAAACTCCTCTGTATTATAGATACTAAAAAGCTAAATATTTATATACATATATTCTTGTTTTTTATAGCCAAGCCAGACATCTTCCTATTCCTGCATGCTGCCCACCAGTCCGTCCATGAATGGGCGAAGCTACGACACATACACACCCCCTCATATGCAGGCACACATGAACAGCCAAACAATGGCAACTTCTGGTACCACCTCAACAGGTAGGCAGAATAAGTTCATTGTGCGCTTAACCAACTCGCCCTGGATCAAATGCACGTTTATACTACCGTTCAAAAGTTTGGGGTTAGAACGATTTTTGATTCGCAAACAGCGAGGATGCATTAAATTGATCAAATGTGACAGTAAAAACCTTTATAATGATACAAAAGATTTACATTTCAAATAAATGCTGTTATTTTGAGCTTTCTATTCATCAAAGAATTTTGACAAAATTGCATCACGGTTTCCATAAAAATATAAAGCAACGCAACTGTTTTTGACATTGATAATAATAAAATGTCAAATCAGAATGCAAATCAGAATGATTTCTGAAGGATCATGTGACACTGAAGACTGGAATAATGATGCTGAATATTTAGCTTTACCATCATAAGAATAAATTACATTTTTAAATATTTTTAAATAGTAGAGTTATTTTAATTTGTAATAATGTCTCGCAATATTACTGTTTTTACTGTGTCAAATAAATGTAGCCTTGGTAAGCATAAGAGGCTTATTTCAAAAACATAATTATTTTTTTTTTAAATTAAAAAAAAAACTTTTGAACCGTTTTGACCGGTATATGCATATGCTCTTTTACCAATTTACTGTTCACATTAAATATGCATTGCCGTAAAATTCTGTTTAATTTTAAATGCATGATTTTGTGTATATATTCAATTGTGTTTCTGTTTTCACCCATTTTATCTACCATTTTTGTTCCTTATCTCTTAAAAATAAAGGTTCCAAAAGTTTTTTTTTTTTTTTTTGTAGCTATGCAAGAGAAGAACATTTTTGGGTTCTCCAAAGAACCTTTCACCGAACAGTTCTTAAAATAACCATATTTTTTACTGTGAAGAATATTAAAAAAAATCTAAAGAACTTTTTTTTTTTTTTCCATTTTAAAGAACCTTTTTTGCAATGGAAAGATTCCATGGATCTTGTATGTTTTTTCATGGAACCATCAATGCCAATAAAGAACCTTTATTTTTAAGAGGGTTGAAAAAGCATTAACACTTTAAAAAAAAAAAAAAAAAAATCCCTTTCATTGTCTAAATTTAACTTCAATATGTCTTGAATCATTACATCACAAACCTGTTTGTTAAAGTGCATAAAAAAATATGATAACACTTAACGGACAACACAAACTTCTCAATCCAGGTTCATACATAACACCAAAGCTTAAAGTTTGCAAACCGACATGTTTTTGACCTGTATTCTGTCTCTATTTATAGGACTCATCTCCCCTGGAGTATCTGTCCCTGTCCAAGTTCCCGGAACTGAGCCAGACATGTCTCAGTACTGGTCAAGATTACAGTAAAGAAAAGAGTTACTTCGCCCTTTGACCTTTCCACACAGAGACTAAGAGAGAACCTGGACCTCTGCAGCAGTATTTCCACAAACACACAGACACACACAAACAAATACCAGGACGAGGAAGCGTGTGGACTCTTGTCACGGTCTGGAAACTTTGCGGCACTACCTTTAAGAGGAAAACCAGACGCTAGAGAGACTTTAAAGGAACAAAAACAACAAACCTCCGCTACATCCACATTTTCGGTCTCCATTTTTTGTTGTATTTGTACATTGGCATTAATAAGAAAAGATGAAAAGACAATTCAACAGCCAAAACTATGTTGGTGTCGCATCCATTTGAAATGGCGGAGCACGATATATTGTGACTGTTTTCTAATATCAGGATTACGGATCGGACTTCATACAGGCCCATATCAAAGAAGTGAAGCAGAAACACACCAACAGGAAAATCAACCCACAACGACTTCAATTAACAACACTATTTTATCTACAAAAGGAACAACAGCCATTATGTAAATGACTGAGTACTTTATAATTATATATGAGGGTTTGGAGATGGGTAGACTGATTCTGAGGCTGTTTGTGCTTGATCATTTATAATTGTGACGTCAAGAGGAATGGGAAGTTATAATACGGCAGACTTTGCCATCAAAATAACATTCATCCATTTTGCTACCGTCCAATTGTACGTATTTGATTCCCCTAGAAATTTCCTCCTGGAATTATGGCGGAACATACATTTATTCTCACATTTACTGTCCCCGAGAAAAAAAAATCTATAAATGTTTTATACAGATTTTCATGCATCGTTAAAAAAAGGAAAAAAAAAATAATAATTCTTTAGGTCAGGTACAAGTTGTCTATTAGGTATAGCTGTATTATAGTGTCCTACGGTCAAATAATTTTGTGAGACTAGAAATATTTAATTCCAATAATTATGATTAAAAATGCTTGACAGAGTTAAAAAAAAAAAAAAAACGTAAGTGTTTGGCAGTTGTTTACAAGTACATATCAGACTTTAACCATTGTTGATTGTAAAAACAGACCAAAGCCTTTGTATTTCATCTATTACACAATCTTAATCTTCTCTTTTTTTTTTATCGTTAGTCTTGTGTTGCTATACATTTTGTAAAGGAAAACAGTTGTTTTACATTCTAGTACACTGGCTTCGCGTAGCCTATATATGGCTGCGGCTTAATCACGCAGTCCTTTATTTATGATCGACAACCATTTGTAGTTTTAAAAACATGTTGACATCTCTTGAACTCTGCGTTTTTGTTGTGTACCTGAGACACGAACACTTGTAATGGTTTTTGTGTCAGAGCAATGCTTTGGAAAACGGAAGGTCTACCCTGTCTTGCAGATATTTCAATTTCACTTTATTTAAAAGCTTTCTAAATGTATTTTGTGAAAACTATTAAAAACATTTTGTACAGTAGCCTACACGTCGCTTTCGTCACGATTTTCCAAAATGCTAAACTTTTAATACGACTCCTATTGAAAATGAACATCATTTTCAAGTAAAATCACTCAATAATTAAAAACATTACTACCCGTTTAAAGACACACCAGCATGTCAAAACCCCTCTCTTCTCTCCACATACCTCATAACCTGCAAAGAACTCATGAACAAAGGCACCAGCCGACTCCACACAACTCAGACATCACAAAAACACACCACAATAGAAAAGGCCTATGCCATTCAACACTGCCAGCTCTTGTTTTGGTAGAGTTACGATGGTCTAAAAGGAAGAAAAAAAGCGAGTGAGCATGGGGGGGAGGCGAGAGAGGGAAGAAACGAGAAGAATAAAGCGGTCCGAGCAAGCGGAGGGTGAGATGAAGCGATTGTGTGGCAGAATGAGTTATTTTGCTTCACTTGCTGTCTCAGCGTGAGGGACGCCGAGGGAAAGTGTCCATGTGGAAGGCTTTTTGGGGGTGGTAGGTTGGTCCTGATGTTAGCTGGGTCAGGTAGTGGCTTATGGGACTTCAGGACAGCTCTAGTCTCGCTCAAACACACCTACAAAGATGGCAGTGGAAATGAAAAGAATGGAGAAACCTCAAATCACAACTAAAGTTATACTTGTTATATTTCACTTCTAACAAAACTAGCATCTTATGCGTGCCGTTTTGGGCTCAAATTAATTGATAAACTATGTTTGTTCTTAAAATAGATTCATGTCACACCACGTAACTATTTGAGCAGACTAATCACTCTAATAGGCTAAACGTAATTATAATGGCAAAAAGTTGACCGCATATAATATACAGTATATTTAAAAAAACTGTAAACACTGATAACTATTTATGAGCAATGAAAATGAGGCTATGAAACATTAACGTGTGTATATAAAACATACCTGTCTCATGAATATATGTGACCCACAAAACCAGTAATAAGGGCCAATTTTTTAAAATTTGATATTTATACATCATGGTTTGTTAGGATAGGACAATATTTGGCCGAGATACAACTATTTAAAAAAATCTGGAATCTGAGGGTGCAAAAAAATCTAAATATTGAGAAAATCGCCTTTAAAGTTGTCCAAATGAAGTTCTTAGCAATGCATATTACTAATTATAAAACCTTTTTTATATATTTACAGTAGGAAATGTACAAAATATCTTCATGGAACATGATCTTTACTTAATATCCTAATGATTTTTGGGCATATAAGAAAAATCGATCATTTTGACCCATACAATGTATTTTTGGCTATTACTACAAATATGCCTGTGCTACTTATGACTGCTTTTGTGCTCCAGGGTCACATATGCTTTCACAAGCATATTTATTCAGAAGCAGAAATTAATAATTTGTGCATGCATTTTCACATTACAAATACATTTCCCTGCTAAGTCAAACAGGGTCACATCAGCTGAAATTTAAGTTGGAATATTATAAATGCAAAAGGATGATATTATAATTCAATTGTAAATGAATGCAGTATCTTATTGTGAAGCCTGTTTAAGAAATAGTGAAAGGATATTATATTATATTATATGGGTCAGTATTACGTGGTAAAACATGGAAAACAGGTTACCTTTTACCCCAAAATACAAAACAAAAAAACAGCATTAATTACAGTAAACAAAGTAAATAAATAAATAAAATAAAAAACACATTAAACAGCATTAATTAAAGGCAGTACAACAAATCTTACCATGATGTATGCAAACAGTTTAATTTTAAATATTGTTTGTTACATAGTAATGAGAACAACATTTTGCAGATAATTTTGGGGATCATTTTTTTTTTGTGTTATTATAAAAATGGCAGTAAAGTAAAACCTGAAGAAATACAGAATTTATGTAATTAGCAGAAAACAGTGTTCAAAATAATAAAATAAAATGAAAAATAAATAAGAGAGAGAGAGCGAGAGAAACTCTATGTCTCTAGTCCTATATTTGAATATATTTCTGCTTTAATTGTATCCTGAACAGAGCAACATTATGAACCTGAAATAATCATACAGCTTGTAGAGTTTTGGACTGAAGTGGAGTGGAGGGTTGAAAATATTTTCCATCACAAAGCTTGTTTTGAACGTGAATAAAAACATGACATTTTGTTTTTACATTTTTTTGTAGAAACTTTATTGACACCAAATATTTATTAGCTAACTAAGCAAATAAACACCAGGAAGCCATGAAGTGCACTGAAATTACACTGGAAGCCAAACTATGTTATCGTTATTTGCATCACATCCTTGCTTTATCCAAAGATAGCAACAGGTACTTGTCAGGTTTTTGTGACACTGAACATCACTTGTAAGTTCCCCTATGTTGTGTAGTTACTAAACGTTGCACCATCTTACTCTCATTCACTAATAATGAGAGTAAGTGTGTCAGTGCAGGTGTGACTGTAGGCTAGTGTTGGCGTAGTGCAGCTCCAGCGCTCTCCTGCCCTTGAACATCTCTGGGGGGCGGAGGGTGCAGGAGGAATGGGAATACGCTAGAAATCTAGGTGCTTGTTGCCCGTGGCAGTGGTGCCACATCCTGCTGCCAGTTCTGTTTTACTCACTCGACTCACCGTCTCTGACAGGTCTGGAGGCAAATGCAGTCTCTGAAAGAGAGAGAAAGAGCATGTAAGAGGAAGGCTGAAAGAATAATGTGGAGGGCAAGTGATAAAGCTACAAATGCAAAACAAACAGGCACACTGGTATAGTGATGGTATCAGATAGTAATACCATGGTATTTTGGCGTAAACCATAATACTGTCCGATTACTATATTCAAGCAGCTAAGAAGATGCTCACTAAAGCTGCATTTATTTGATCAAAAATACAGCAAAAAGAGGACATTTTTGAAATAGTATTACAATTTAAAATAAACATTTCTATTTGAATATATTTTTAAAACAATTTATTTCTGATGTAAAGCTGAATTTTCAGCATCATTACTTCAGTCTTCAGTGTCTCATGATCCTTCAGAAATCATTCTAAAATGCTGATCTGCTGCTCAAGAAACATTTCTTATTATTGTCAATGTTAAAAACAGTTGTGCTGCTTAATATTTTTGAGGAAACTGTGATACATTTTTTTCTTTGATGAACAGGAAGTCCAAAGAACAGATTTATTTGCAACAGAAATAGCTAATAGTTAGCATGTTGCTAACTAATAATGCAATTATCTAATAAACACAAAAATACAAACCACAAACAAAAATTGGGTATATTTCAATGAATTCTGCAATTTCTTTGGAAGCTATATATATATATATATATATATATATAGACAGATAGAGAGATAGATAGATAGATAGATATAGGTATCGGTGTATATATATATATATATAAGATGAAAAATAGAAACAGAAAAACAAATGAAAATTAGAAATGTTGTCTTGGAAGTAATAAAATTACTAAAATAAAAATAAGATTAAATGGACATACTGAAAAATTTACAAAAATCACATTAAAAAAATGACTAAAACTTACTCTAAAATTAAATTGAAAACCAAAACTAAAGTGAATTTTAAATATTAATAAATACTATAAAATTATAAACAGCAAATAATACTAAAATAACACTGATCTAGATGGGCAGCTAAGATTTTAGAACAGAGCTACAGTTGTTACCATCAGTTAGTATTATAGTTTCATATTCCTGCATTAATTTAACTTTTGTACCACAGACAGCATCTGTATATTGCTGAATAAAACAAACTGAACCTTTACAATCTGCGATCAGTTTAAATGAATAAGTGCAGTGCTCACGAACGCATTTAGCCAGAGATGCCTGTTTCAGCTTCTTTGCTCCACACTGAAGACCTGTAGACTTAAGACAGGTGAGAAAACATCCTAGCCCGTGTTTGCAGACAGACCAAACAGAGTGTGTGAACACAAATTGCGTTAGACGCTTGGCCATGCACCTTAAATGGTCCGAGAAGTGTAACTGTTAGTGTGCCGCTAAAAACCCTTGAGGGAGGCTTGAGCTTTTTGGCAGTTCAGGAGAAAGGTTTGTGCATAGAGCTACGGCTTCGAGGAGAGTCATTAGAATCAAGCGTTTTATTACGGTAACTTGGCCCCACATGGGCACTAATCTCTGACAAGGCAATGAGCTATGCCAAAAGCTTGTGCTAAAGAGGCTAATGAGGGAGCTCAGTGCAAGGTACACACACACACACACACACACACACACACACACACACACACACACACACACACACACAGCGTTAAGAGTAGTCAAGTGTATGATTAAATACACTTCTGTACAGCAAGTCAGTTGCCACAAGCTAAACATACCTGCAACTGCAGCCTTGATTCAGGTGACCTTATTCCTCAAGTTGATGTTTATCTCCTACCAACAATGGGCTTCTAAGGCTCCTATTGTTTGTTGAACAGCAGGCAAGTCATGTTCCTAAAAGAGTAGGCTGGCGGAAGCTCAGGACAATCTGTAATTTCCCTGAGCCTCTTCCACACGCCTTTAAGAGCTTCAGATCCTTTTCCCCCGAAGCCCTCAAGGCTACCATGCATCCCAACCTGGAGACACCCAGGATCAAAATGTTAAGCTTATCTGGAGGAACCCTGAAGAACATGAGAAGGGATCTACAGATCTGATAATGCTGGAACTTAAAGGGATAATGCAGCCCAAAAATGAAAATTCTGTCATTATTTACTCACCATCATGTCTTTTCAAAACTTTTTCAAATGTTTTTGTAATTTTTGGAGCTTAATGGATGTGGTCACTGTCATTTTATCTAAAAGAGCTACACAAAGATTCTTAAAAAATGTTCTTTTAAGTTCCACTGAAAAGTAACAGTATATTTGTACTGTACTGTAAAAAATGACGAAAAAATGATGAATTTAACGGTAAAAGGCTGTAAAAATGCTACAGTAAAAACCTGTTAAATGGTTAATAGCGAGTCTTGCATACCACGCTGAATCGACGCGCAACATGTAAACCATATTCTTTCTTGTATTTTCCTGTCAAAATAACAGTAATATAATATAATATAATATAATATAATAAGAAATATTTATATTATTTAAATTAAATATTATAATATTTAAAAAGTGGCTAAATATTTATTACTCTATTGCTTCCACAAGAAAAACTGGGCCTCAATCACTACTTTGCTAAGCATACTGATCTCGTAAAGAATGCAACATTCCCTCATCTTGAAGTCACTGAAGTGTAATTAAAAAAAGAAAACATACCAATTTGACTTGGCTCCTCAAAGCCCATTACTGCACACAACTTGAAATATCAAACATGCTACTCTCAGCCAGGTTCAAGGCAGGCCAGACCAATCTATACTAGATAGCGTGACTAAGAAGACTTTATCATGACACATACTTGATCACACAATGTCCTACTGTATGAGGGAATGCAGGAACTGTGCTCCCATAATGTATTTGGTATAGATTAAGTCTTAGTAAATAGCTAGAGTAAATTTCTGCACCATTTACATCACAAAATGGAATTGCAAAAATAATAAAGACTGTTTTCAAACACATTTTCCAAAAAATTGCAACTGTCTTCCACTGGTCGGACAAACAGAAAAGCCCGCCTCAAACTCATTGGTTGAGTCAATGCTGCAGTTTCGGGATGTTTAAACAAAAAAACCCATAACGGCTTCTTTATAGTTGCATATAAAACTGGGATAGGGGAAGATGACACCCTTATAACATAATAGAAAAGACAACAAACTGAGTCCACAGAAACCTCTAGGATCATTAAAGGGATGAGTGGATTATTAAGAGGCAATCATTGTCATGAAGTGCTTTATGCAAACAGCAACAACAATTTCTGCCAGCAACTCACTTGAACACAATCAGTTTAAAACACTTGAAGTGATTTACAAGAGGCTCTCAAGAGAAACCTTAAGAGTGGCTTTCCTTAAGAGGGTTACAAATAACACTCCACGCTGAACAAAACCTCACACTGATAATAGCTACAAAGCCCTCCAGCTACTTCTTGTTGGTTGCACTGGCACTTGTGAAGAATCACCACAAATCTCACCGGAGATTGTGTTTCAAGACACTTTGGGATCAGAGGAGTTTGGATTGAAGTAACAGACGTTCTATGTAGTGAATACAGGTTAAGATGTAACACAAAAGTAGCCCAACTTACCTGAATTCACTTAGCCTAACTCAAAAAGCATAAACCAAAACTTAATGTTTAACCCAATATATTAACTTAATATATTCACATGGCAGCCTCTTATCAAGCAATGAGATTCTTTTAAAGTTCAGACAACAAAAAATCTGTAATACATAATGAAATAATATGTAAATCTTGAAAAAAAAAAAAAAAAATTAAACGGGTTACAGATCAGTTAACAACTGAACATCATTAAAATTATTTGGCTGATATTTTTAAATGGAACCGGTTGGGAATAATAACTGGCTCTAACCTTCAGCTTGTGGGTTTTCTGTATCAGCATGTCTTCATTTTTCACCAAGCTTTGCATTTAATAACCAAAATGTTAAATGAAGCATAGAAGCACAAACCGTAGTTTAAACTTGTTCAAAATACCATGCAATAACACTGTACATGTCTAGAAACCTTTTTGTTTGACAAACAAGCACAAATTGTCCAGAGCAAATACTCCTCACGTATAAACCGCTGATGCTGATAAACTTCTATGTTTAAGGGAAACATGATAAGTTACTGAAGACCAGCTTAGTGTAATTGGAACCAACATTATCTGTTATTTTCCTCTTTCACACTGATCACAATGACAAGTAATATGATTCTACGTAGACCACCACCCCACTCTCTGGTGTTTCCTTCATCTCCTGAAAGTCTAGCATTATGTTTTTACCTATCATCAATGCATTAAGAGCAACCCAGGAAATAGGCATTATTTGATTCTTAAAGAAGCAACACTGTTCATACAAAAAGTCAGTTTTAGGGAAACTAAAGATTCCAATTGGCTTCTTTTAACATTTACCAATGCCCTCTTTAAGTGTTTACCGTCCCAAACAATCAAATACAATGGCGGTGACTCAAGAAGAGGTAAAAAATGCTTAATCTCATGTCCGACTTTTATGTTTATGGAGATTCTTGTGAGGTGACCTATATAAAATTATAGTGTATAATTTATATAACTTATATATTTAATTTATAATTTATATATTTCCTCAGATGATGCCAACCCTGCAACAACATACAGAACTACCAAATGTTTCATCATATAATAATTGCTGTTAGTGTTCATCGTCTGTTTGATTACGTCTTTAATTGATTTTTCCGTACATTTCTGCCATATGTACATTAACTGACAGTCACCACTGATAAGCTACCACTAAATATTGTAGAAACTTAATTTGCTGTAAAGTTGCTTTGCAACGATTTGTTGATTTGAAAGAAACGATTTGTATCGTGAAAAGCGCTATACAAATAAACTTGAAAACAACTAATTGAATTGAATATATATTATACAACAGCCCTGCAGACCTGATCTGATGATGCTGAATTCAAAAATATAAATAATATAAATATAATATAATATATAAATAATAATAATAATAAAAAAATCTCACATATAGTTTTTTATACAAAATAAGAATGACATTATATATATGTCAGCTTTTAATGCACTTATCAAAATAAAGTCA